TTTGGGGCAGTTTGGGGCAGGAATTTGGGGTGAATTTGGGTAAATTTGGGGCAGTTTGGGGCAGGAATTTGGGGTGAATTTGGGTAAATTTGGGGCAGTTTGGGGCAGGAATTTGGGGTGAATTTGGGTAAATTTGGGGCAGTTTGGGGCAGGAATTTGGGGTGAATTTGGGTAAATTTGGGGCAGTTTGGGGCAGGAATTTGGGGTGAATTTGGGTAAATTTGGGGCAGTTTGGGGCAGGAATTTGGGGTGAATTTGGGTAAATTTGGGGCAGTTTGGGGCAGGAATTTGGGGTGAATTTGGGTAAATTTGGGGCAGTTTGGGGCAGGAATTTGGGGTGAATTTGGGTAAATTTGGGGCAGTTTGGGGCAGGAATTTGGGGTGAATTTGGGTAAATTTGGGGCAGTTTGGGGCAGGAATTTGGGGTGAATTTGGGTAAATTTGGGGCAGTTTGGGGCAGGAATTTGGGGTGAATTTGGGTAAATTTGGGGCAGTTTGGGGCAGGAATTTGGGGTGAATTTGGGAGGATTTAGGGGAGCACCCACACCCCCCAGCCCCCTCCCCAAACCCGGGGGTCTCTTACGCTTCATGCGGCTCCAGAGCTGCCCCCCCCCCTTCTTGCCCTTCGGGGGGGGCCCCTCGCCGTAGTGGGGGGAGGGGTAGGGGGTGGAGCCCCCCGGGGGGGTCCCGGCGCCCCCCCCCGCCCCCCCCCCGCTGTGGGGAGGGGGCTGCGGCTGCGGGGGGGCGGCGGGGGGGGGCTGGGGGGTCCCGAACGGCGCCGCCTCCTCCAGGCCGGGCACCGGGGGCTGCTGGGGGGGCACAGACGGGGTCAGGGGGGGGTCCCGGGGCCGGGGACCCCTCCCCAAACCCCCCCCGAGCCCCCCTCACCTGGCCCAGGCCGCTCTGCTGCTGGGGGGGGGCGGGGGGCTGCTGCTGGGGGGGGGCGGCGGCGTAGGAGCCCCCTCCCCCCGCGGCGTAGGGGGCGGTGGGCGCCCCATAGCCGGGGTACACCCCCTGTGGGACAGAGACCCCTCCCCAAATTAACCAGAGACCCCTCCCCAATTAACCAGAGACCCCTCCCCAA